TTATGAACGTGCTAGGATTTTTCAGTCTTGGGATGAATGTTGTATTAAATAATTACTGTTCAGAACAATATGCTGATACAAGTCAATGATTTGAAATAAACTTTGATCCATCATTAAAAAACTGCACTTCATACATATTTTATCTAATGTAATGTTTTTAACCGTGTTCTGTATTCATTGTGAGTAGATCACTCCTTAAGGAAAAATTATTCTGTTCTCAAACTCTCCAGCCACTGCTATTCAAAAGTTATTAGACTAGTTTTAAAATTAGGAAACAATATCAGTAACCTAAGCATAAGAAGAAACAATAAGCAAAAACCTGTTAAAATCCAGATGGTTCAAAACTAAGATATGAATGTGAATATATAATAAAATTGATAGACGTGTACACATACACATTCATATATGTACACATCCAAAGCTATATATATGTACATATACATGTATGCTTGTACACACAAAGTAGAGATATGCTTTAAAAGCATAAACAAATGAATAAAGGACATATATATTTTAAAATTTGAAAATATGGGATAATTCTAAAGAATCTGAAGTATTTTCTCTGTGTATCTAAAAGAAACCTTTCCTTCCTTTTCATGGGAAATATCTAGAACCCCTTTAAGGTGTGGTCCATATATTCAATAACTTACAATAAGTGTGGTGCTTTGTTGACTACGTTGGCTTTTCTTCTCATTGTTTATGTTTTGTATATAAAACTAAAGGTTTTTTGATATATTTCAAAGAATTAGCAGTATCTGCCAGTACTTGGATTGATTGCTTCTCACACAGAACTTGGGTTAACTTCCAGTAAAATAAAACACTTCATAATGTCTTTGTTTCAGCTGACATTAAGGTATATGCTCGCATGTAAGCGTGTATTCAGTCCATCCCAAATAAAACAGTGTAACTTATATTTAGTATCTGCAAAGCTTCTTTTGCTCAGGTATTTCCAGCTTTCTCATTATCTTCAGTTATGCAATGGTTAGACCTATACATTTAATTTAGCAGGAAAAAAATACAAATTACAAGTTCAAAAGTATTTAGTTCCTAGTTAATGCCTAGTGTGATTAAATAAGCTTCTGGTCTGACTTTAGAAAAGTCATATTACCTTCATTACACAATTTGTTAGCCAATCAGCTGTTTCACCTCCCTCCCCATCCCTCATCTTACAGAAGACTGAAATTGGTTTATTTCTTTTCATCTAGGAAGAGGAAGTAATCTAAAATTCTGTCCTGGTAAAACAGAACTACTCTTTTGGTGTGAGGTTTGTACTTCATTATTTTTGAGATAAGCCTTTGAAAATTCTTTCTGCAGGTAGAATACCTTCACTTGACAGAGATAACATGCATTTCTAGTGTATCAGGTTGTTCTGAAAATACAAGTGGTTTGAAGTAACATCAGGGAAAGATTTGGTCTATTGAGTCAAATCAATTCCTGATTACTTTTCTTCTTGTGGAGACTACCCTGTTGTGTTGAAATATGTCCCTGCAATGCCATTCTGATTATCAACACACTGAAGAACCACTGGCTTGTTAAAGGGCGGATAGCTGAAGGACTGATAACTTTTTGCTCTTTCTCTTCTTCCATCTACCATCCTAATAATTGCCATTAAGCATCAGGACTCTGTATATGGAAGTGCCTTTATTATAGAAGCAACAATAGTTGCTTTCAGCTATTCTAACATCTGAAACTGGGGTTCACAGTTGTCTGACTTTACTATGATTGTTATCTAGATTGTTGTGCTTTTCTAAGTTGTTTCCTCTGCTCCTTTCTCCCCATTATGACACTTTTATTCTGAATCTCCAGTGAGGCTGTGTGACTTTCTGCCATTCCTATTGCTTACAGAAAACATAAACATAACTACAGCTTTCAGCTTTCCCCATTATCCTCAAAATCATACAACAGAAATTAATGTTTAGTGGGTTTTTGCCATGTGCTTTATGTGTTATTTTTAAGCTTATCTATAATCACTGTCTACACTTTGTGGTAAAATATATCCAGAAAGAGACTGCATGTTTAAAAGACAACCCCCATCATTCAGTAGAATCAAAATACCCTTTGGCAGAAAATAGTAGATTATACGTGATTCGTATATGACATTGTACTGGATGGATTAGAATGAGAGCCTTTAAATGTGACACAAAAAATGTTGATAGCTAAGGTACCAGAAAGCACAATTTTTATTTTTTTTTTTTTTTAATAAGAAAAATATTGCCTTTGTTACTTTTCAAGGTCAAAAACTTTTCAAGTGACCTCTAAGGAAAAAACCATTAGAAGAGATTTAGGTTCTTGGAAAGACTTTCTCTCATTTTAGGAAGAAAATGTCACTTGGAGTCAGAAGCAGAACGTGGGTTCTTTTTCAGTGCAATTACTTAATCAGTGCTTCTGAAGATTAGCCTGAAATACTGCATAACTGAACAAAGCTCATTTTTCCTCACAAAAACAGAGCTCCATTAATTTAAACTTTAGCTACAATGCAGTGCTTTGCAGTATCTAATTTCAATCAGTAAGAATCTTAATATAATAAAAAAAAATGTTGTAAATTAGATCTGAAAATGCATCATTGTCAAAGAACATATTCTCAAGTTCATGTTTCTAGTCACATTATTTTATCTTTGGTAATATTTTTGGTATGTCTCTCATTTATTCAGAAATTAAGATGTTTGCTTTCCTTGGTGCCATTTCACTTAACAGTTCAGATGATTTCTTATTCAATTTAAATGAAGAAAAAGACTTTTCAAAGCGTAAAACTGGTTTTTGCAGCTTTTTTTTATTTTATTTTTTTAAATACAAAAAGATTGTGGAGTTGAAAGCTGATATTTCTCAAATAGTAAACCTCACTGAGCTTTTTATATTTTTGCGAGGTACCAAAAGTTATATTCTGTGTAATAGAACTAGCCAATTATTTTGTAAATGCACGTTTAACTATGAAAAATTACTAATGTTGTTCACAGTGTGATATAAATGCCTGCCAATAGACTTCTGCCCTTCAATTTTTTATGGCCTTAAAGGGTAGTGATAACAAAATTTTGTTGAGTGATCTGCATTTTTTCCTAGTCACATACACATGTGTTTCAGAGTCACCGAAAAAGAATCAATAGAAAATCTGAAGTTTTAAGTGTAATGGCAGAGGAATCTTGAAACACCCTATTGTTTTATGTCTTACCAAGTTTCCCAAAATTTTGCAGGATAATGCAGGAAAATCTTGTTTGAAAAATGCAGGGCTATTCTTTTTGTTGTTCACTGATCGGTTTTCCACTTGACAAATTATTTGACAAATTATGACTATATTCTTTTTTCATTTTGTATTAGCCTCCACATGGTTGGGTCTATCCACTGGAACACAAAATATGCTGAAGATATTTTTAGTCTTCCCTAGAATTTTTCCTTATAGGTTGCTGCTTTAAGGTACATCTTTTAGGTTGGTAAGCATTTTTGTCATAGTTCATACATAATTGTGTTTATGTATTTTAGTAATAAAAGAAATATAGAGGTTTTTTTTACTCTGACCTACTACTTGGTTTACACTAATAGTTAAAGCAAAATATTATTTTCCATTTAAGAACTATATTGATAGAAGGATGATTGTAAAGTGGGGAAATGGGAACTTATTACTTCGTTATCCACAAAGTATATTTGTCTCAACTTATATTAGGTACTACAAATAAGCCATGTAAGACAAGCAATCCTAATCCATGTAATGACATGTTAAAAAATAAATTATGTTAATAGGCCTTAAAAATGCATTGATAAATGTATTTCCCCAAAGCGTTTGCATACTAGATGTTGTTCACCTAATGTAGAATTCACAGAGCTAGTTGGAAACAGTTTTCCTTCCCCTTTCTCTTTTCCTCCTTTCCTCTTTCTCTTTCCTGTCCCCTATGCTTGATAAGGCACTGATTTCTAATTTTCTTTTTGTGAAATCCCCTCAGGCTAGTTCTAATTCTGGAAGAAATTAAAAGCTTGAAATCAGATAGAGAACGGATTTGCTTACAATTTAACCTGTGTTAAAAGTTGTTGGCACATGAGACAGAGCTGGTGAGATTTTTCTCCTTCATTTCCTGTGAATAGAGACAGCATTTGTTACTATGAGCACAGACAATTTCCTAAGATCCTGAGTTCAATGAGGTCACATATTGAAAGCTTCTGAGCACTTAATGGAACTTTATGTCAACCTCTAGATTGTCTAGCTTCAGTAATGGAGTGGCTAAAAAGTTGGTATTAACTTCCACACCTAAATATCCCTCACTACCAGATAAGGACCTCTGAATCTGACAAACATTAGCAGTACTTTTCAAACAAAGTCTTTCAGTCCAATAAGACCACTACTGGTCATTTAATTGTGGTTTTGGATAAGAAAACTCATTATATAATGGGATTAATCACATTATTGCTATCTTTTTTAAATAGAATAAAACACTCCAATGAGTAAGTTTTTATAATGAATAATCATTAAAAATATTTGAAGACATAATAGATATTTATCTATTACTCTATTCTTCCCTGCATTATTATTACATTATTATGTGTCCCTACATAACATATAATAAATGATGCAACTGTTGTCCACAGTCTCTACTTGAGTGGTTTACTCTGTCTCTGTGGAAAATTAGAAGAATGTACCTTTAAAAGAAATTCAAAGTTTGTCCGATATTTGTGTGCAAATATTCAAGAAAACAGAGGTAATGTATTTGCAAGCTTAGCATTCCCTAAATGTATTTTGGCCACAGAATTAGAGAAGATTTCTCATTCAGTGAATATAAACCCCTTCAAACACATACACTAAAGAGTAATATATCTTAAGTAATGGGAACAGGTTTTCCCAGGGAAAACCTTTGTGTTATAGGTGACTTTTGATGATATTTTTATTACATTTTCTTGAAAAAATGTGCCTTATGATGGTAATTTAAATACTAGAACAGCTGCTTTTCAGATGTAAAGAAGTATTATTATGACTGCAAAACAGTTTCTTAAAGTTTGCTTCTTTTTTTTTTTCATAGAAATCACAGACAAATACAATGAGTAGGGACATCAAGTGGCTATTCAGTCGAGTCTTCTTTCATTCTTCACCAAATCAAGGTCAGTCATACAAAATTCGTTCCTGACAGATGTCTGTCTTCCCTGCTTTGTTTGTTTATTTGTTTGCTTTAAATAGTGTTTTACATTCTTTCTACTTTACAGTTAGTGTACTCTAGTACTTTCTTGAAAGAGTCAGAACTAAATAAAAGTTTAATATCATAGTGTGCTGAAAAAATGCCTGCATGTCCACTCATTTTTCAGCTGTATAACTTAAATCTGATTTCATGTTCTCCTTAAAAACAGACATTAAAAAAATCCAGATATAGCATGATTTCAGCAGGTAAAGCATTTACAACAGAGGTGGTTATCTTTTAGTGGATAGTGCTTTTCTTTTACTTAGATGGAGTAGATTTTTGGCAAAATTCCCTAAGACGTCCCTGAAGTTGTGATTTAACTTGTAGGACCTGAGGCAAACAACATACTGAAATTCTTCACTTTTGTTGGTCTTTGTGGGAGTTAGAATGCTCCTGAAGGATAGGTCCATGCAAATATATACTGTATTTCCCACTTCTGTACCTCAGCTATTGAATGCTTTGAAATATGTAAGGTGGTGCATCTGTATTCATAAAAGAATTGGTCTAGGGTGCCTTACAGTTTAACTGAATTGGAACTAAGGTTACAAATTAAGATGGAAAAAGGAAAGTACCAAGCTCAAGTGCACTAATGTTCCCTTCTGTGGAGATAAGGCTCTATCCACTACAGAAAGAAATTCCCCTACTCATACGGTCTAGATGAGAAGGGACGCTAAACATATGGCAATAAGATCAGGAGTGACTAGAAATGAGTCAGAGTTCTCTTTACAAGAATATAAGTTGTAACCTTAAAAAAATTCCTAAGGTTCCAACTTTGTTTGTAATAGGTCTTGATAATGTCTTTCTAAACATATGGATGTTTTTAAGAATTTTTCCTTAAGGATCTATTTATATGAATTACTCCAATTGCACAAGATATTTCCTAAACATTCTTGAATCACTGGATTCATCTCCTCTTTTCTTGGTGGGATAATTTTCTCAATGAAAATTGCATCTGTCAAAAGGAAAAATGGAAAAATCAAACATTCTAATGGACTTTTATGTACCACACACATATTTTTTTAAAATAGCATGATATTTTTTTTATACTGCTGACTTTTCTGCCAGAAATTGTAACATATCTCCTTATAAACTGAAATTTCATAATTCAGTCTCTAAGATCAGCTGTTATGTACAGCAAAAAACCACATCTCTATTAGCTGAATAGAGTGAGAGTGCTGCAATTGCTACTCAGTAGAACACAAAACTCAGTGTTTGAAAGGGACATAAAAAGTCCCGTATTTCTCTGCAGGGATGGATTGTGCTCAGTACACATGAAACGTCCAAAGCAGCAAGTAAGAATGCATCATCAGTCTCTTACCATGAAGCACAGTAGACCAGGAAATGGGAGCATTTTTATCACTTCCAAATACAGAAGCAGTTTTAAAGAAGGTGTTATTACACCCTGAAATACTTAAATGTAAAGCTTTTATTCTGTGTTTAGCTGTCACCAGATCTAATGGAAATAGTCTTACTAGTAAATACAAAGGTCTACTGCTAAAAATAGTCAAAGCAGTCTGAACAAAGAGTTTTTTAAGCCTATTACTAGAGAGTCATTTCTCTGAAAGCAAAATCTTTAAGTAGTTTCTGTAGGTTTTATTATATGAATAAAAGTTAAATTCAGTATAGTGTACAGTACATTTTCATAGATTGATTTTTATGAATGAAATCATAATCATTTTCATTTGAATGAAATTTTAGATTCTCAGAGACTGAAAACAAAACAGCAATTGATTAAAAGCAATTATGCACATTTTTATTATTTAAGAAATTTACAGCTTTACTATTTGATGATCAAATGTGATATACTCTATGCTTATCTTCATTTGATATCTTGTGTATATATATGTACAGTTCACTTATATATAGTTCATTGACCAGATTGGATAAGGCTTTGAGCAACCTGGTGTAGTGGAAGGTGTCCCTGCAAATGACAGGGGATTTGGAACTAGTTATGATTAAAGCAGTATGGTAGACATAATCTGTAAGCAATATTATAGATGTCTTAGTAGTTTTAGGGGGCACAAATGCGTTGTTCTGAATCCCCCTGGAGAATTTGAAACATCAAGCTTTTGGCTTTGGTCTGTAAGAAACTTCACCCATTCGCTCAGTTTGGACTGTGTCTGAGGGTGGGCAGCTGAGATTTGGGCAGCAGAGTGCAATGCAGGCATTCTGCAAACACAAATGCAGGATCGTTCCTGTGCCAGGAACTGATGCAAATAATGTTCTGGGATGTAGACTGTCTCCATAGAACTGCTATTCCGAAAATTTCTTCACCACAAAAGAGGAAATAATTTATGCACATTTTAATGACAACAGGGGTACACTATTTTTATACATAATGACTTAAAACTCTGTTGAAGATGCCTTGTGTTACTAGAAGAAAAGAAATTCTATCCTTGCACTACCCTGTGACCTTGTGCTTACCATGTATGTAAAAAATCAATCAATAAATGAACTTAGTGTGGATTTCTGTAAGGAAACAAGATATTTGCTTAATAAATAAGGAAGATAAACCCCATTACACATAAATAACTAGTTTAATTTTTTTTTTTTTTTTAACTCCAATTATTTCTTGAGTCAGACTCAGGATTTTAGTGATTTGGATGTTTGGTGTTCTGGCAGCAGAGCTCTATATTTGTCAGTCCCATGTGGCCTAACATTCAGTGCATGAGGAAGAGGAATTCTGAAGCTGAGCCTGGAAGATTACTGCACAAATTAATAAGACTTGGTAATTTTTTTTTGTTTCTCGTTTTTAATGTGGAACACTAAGAAGCTTTTTTGCATCAGTCTTGCCCTTTTAATTTTGGCACTCTTTTACCTTTCTTTTGCCCATTTATATATAGTAATAAGATTTAACTCTATTTCTTTTTCCTGAGTGAATTAAGTCATAGCACCAGGTTTTCTCCTTACAACTTACCTACCAGATCTGAGAGAGAAAACTGACTGTGTCCAAATCTTTATGCAGTCAATGACTAGTAACTTAGTGCTGATCTTTGTATTCCAGGACTCTGTTTTTTCCACTTGACCACACTGTTTATGGATCCAGAGATATATAGGAGAGGTTTTAAGAGCTTTAGAGCCAGTTGATACTTAGTCTTCTGAGCAGAAACTGGACTGTCAGCTGAAGGCAATAGCCCTGAGGATTCTATGAAGGATTCACTCAGAGTTCTCAACAGCTTTAACTAGATTTTTTGTGCCCTGTGCCAGCTGATGCTGCTTTCATCCATTGCCTTCATTTCCCCTCCATACAGATAATTTACTTTAGTTTCATCCTTCACCTTCATCATTTATTCTCCTCTGCTTAACTTCTTCTTTTTTTCCTGAAATAGATTAATGCAAAAATAAACATATTAATGCTTTAATATGGTGTTATCGTGATGATTTAGCCATATGCTGGAGTCCCATTGTGAGCTCTGTTTTTATGTTAGCCCTGTATATGTGGTTTTGATTGTGAAATTTTCAAGTGCAACAGGAACAGTCTTTTAGTTGGTATTTGTACTGCATCATTCATGGGCATCCTGTACGTCAAATTCTAAATAATTTAGGAATGTAGATATTATGTGCAAATCTTTTATTATTAAACCTTGGAAAGCTGGTAATGCTTTCAGCTTAAGTGGGCTCATTATACTATAATAAAAGGATATATTATGAGGTCAAGGATTAAATGAAGTAGGGATACCAGCATAATGTTTGTAGCAAAATCTTTGATAGCAGAAGCATGTTATCACAATGTTTGTTTATCAACCAGGAGCAAAAAATATGCTTCAAAATAAGAAACGCTACTTAAGAACACTACCAGTTGTAGCTAGAATACTTGGAAAGTAATTGTTGGTATAGACAGAATTTTAATATGCTTTCTCAAACCTGCTTCTTGATAAGGGCTTCCTTTAGAGGGTTTGAGCTGAACTCCAAGTGTTTTTTTCCAACTATAATAGCAGTAGAAGATATTTAATTATTGTAAAAAATATTTAATTATTTTTATGTCTGAGTTTCTGAAGAATTGAAATTATCATGTTAAGCCCTCAAACTTGATCTGCCTTAAGCTTCAGTTCCCCTACCTGTTGTCTATATGCCTCAAATACATGATTTTGTTGACCTGAGTAGTATGCTGGTTATTAATAGGACAGTATTTCTTAAACATATAACACTTTTTAAACAAAAGATAAAATATGTTTCTGAAAAACAAAGTCAAATTTAAAGGGGTAACCTGAATAATCTTATATGGATGAAATCTGTCAAGATTTTGAGCAAACTTAGGTAAACTTCTTCCAGATAGATGTATTCCTTCTTACACATTAACTGTAAAGTCATGAACATTCCTTCTGTCTGCAGATAAAATCTCTCATCTGTGATTGACTTATCATTTAATTCACCAATATGCTCCTACATTGAGATAAAAGAATGAAATACAGGGTGTCAATCAGAAACAGAAAAGTGTTCCACTATAGTAATTTGGGAGCAGATCCCTTTTTGGCTAAATCCAGTGACATCAGTGTTAGTGAGCTAGCAATGAGTTAAATCCTTTTCATTTCAGTTGATTATTACCTTATATACAATATATGAAAAAATAGTATACATACACATAAAACAGGCTCAGTCTTCAAGATCTGTTTAATAAATTCAAACCTGTTTTTAAAATTGCTTGTAAAAAATAAGTAGGGAAAGAATTTAGTGGTGCTTAATCAGGGAAAAAAAAAGTGTTTATGAATACTTTCCCTCTAGAAACAGACACCGTGAATGCTACTCCACCAGAGACAGTGCACAAATCTGTTGAAGTGACACAAGTGTCTGCAAAACTCCCACATTTAGTCTTCCACTTCTTTCAGAAAAACAACATATGCTTCAGATGTTCCTCCAGTTATAGTTTGTCTTTATAGGTGACTTCTTTAGATATTTTGGTGGAATAAGATGCTTTGGGAAACTACT